TCATGATGTGAATATGTGAATATGAATGTGAACATCGATGTGAGGTTGCCTACGTATCCATTAGGAATCAGGCCGAACGTAGCTCTAGCCGAACCTCACAAAATTATGTGTATACCTCAACGAGTTCTTTTAAGGGTTGTAATGTTGTTAGGCTAAAGGTTTGAAGAAGAAGGGGTTAAAGGCTCAAGACCCTCGATAAGCCCCCAAGGTGTAAAACCCTGCTTTTGAATCATTATAGTTTATGCTAGAGGCTTTCAACTCTTTTTTAGCTCTCTTTTCTTTTTTCCTTTCATATTTTGCTCTCTCTTTTGTTTTTGCATCTATTTTATTTTTTTAATATGGGAAATCCCGATCATGTGGTCTATCACTCACTTGGCATTCATGTTTCTCAGGCACGGTACCGAGCACTCGATAAGAAACGCAACCTGAGACGTGTTCATATTAAAGACATTTTCATGTCAAAGACATTGGAACACCTGCCCTTTTGCACACTTTTATTTATTTTTTTATTTATTTATTTTATTCGTTAGAACTACTCAGGCTTTTGTATGTTGAAATTGCATAAAGTGTACACCGTCCCTTCCCAAGGTTAGGTAGATGTGGATTGAAAAATGAAAGGTGTATCGTTAGACGAAGCTCAAAGTGGTTTTATCAAAAAATGTGATTACATATTTGAAGGGTGAGAGGTATGATATGGCTACAAAGGGTGCCTTCAATCATTGGTATACCTTGTCTTTATTATTATTATTTTTTATGCAATGTAATGAAATAATCATATGCAATAAAATAAATGCTCATTTTATTAAAAGGAAAAATGTAAATGAAAGTTCTACAAAATGAATCTGGGAAAAAAATAAAAGGTGCCTATGCTAGACTTATTGGGGAAAGGATAGATAAAAGAAATAAAAAACAGGTCATGAAACCTTGTTTTCGAAGTTCGCCTTATGTCGTTTGCTTTATCATCACTCGCTTTTCTTGCTAGCTGGAGGTATGAGAAGCTTGTTATTATCGATCAAATGTTCGATAGCCTCTTTTAGCTTCCAACAGCTCTCAGTAGTATGACCCCTACCTTGATGGTACTTGCAATGTGCATCAGGATTCCAACTAGGCAATCTCTTTTCAGGTGCGGGATCTTGAACAGGTCCGATGGGTGTAATGAGTCCCTTAGTATATAGTGGATCAAAGCGGCATCGTAGCTCATCCCAATGGGGGTGAAGTCTTACCTTAGTTGCTTCTTAGATCCTTGGTTATCCATGGCCAAGACTTCACTTAGAGTGGGCGTTTTCAGAAGAAGAAGGATTGTCGTTCTTTTTTCCTTTCTAGCCACTGTTGTGGCTATTGTTAGTAGCTTTTTGCTTTGCGAGGTCATCTTCGATCTCGATGTCTATTTCATAGACGGTCTTGAAAGTATTTAAGTTGTGTTGATATATTAAGTGCTTTGAATACTTTTCTTGTAAATTTTTGATGAACATCCTCACGCATTCTTTTTCAGTAGGGACTTCGATCATGTTAGTGGAAGTTTGCCTCCATTTGTTGAAAAAGGAGGTGAACCCTTTGTTCTCATTTTCCTTTAGCATCTCAAGTTGTCTATGATCGGTTTTGATTTGAATATTACACTTGTATCTATCATTGCAAGGGTTTTTTATTCCATCCCAGGTAGAGGTCTTCTCTTTATCAAGGGAGAAAAACCAATAGTTTCAAGAGATAGTGAGAATAAATTACAGTTTCAAAGGTGATCCGTGCCATTTATGGCACCTTTAGGCTATGTTTTCTATACTCCTTTGTAGTCTTTTATGTCGTGTTTTTAGAGAATAATGCTCGATTCGCGTGTTTTTGGGTTAGTTTAGAGAAATGCATGCTTTGAATGGCTTTCTTATCATTTTATTAATTTCTCGGCTATTTCTCTTGCTTCTCCGTTTCTTTGTCTTGTTTTGTAGGTATGTCGCGGGCTATATGCATGGGAATTGAAAATAGCACCCACTAGGATCAATATGCACTTTTCGGAATTGAATTTGAGTTTGAAACAAAGGAAAACGAAGGATTGCAAAGTATCAAATAGGACCTTTGTGAATTGTTTTGCATATCTCAAGTTATATAGATCAGATTAGGGTGATTCAAGTTTGGTTGGAAACTAGACTTGAAGAGCTTTCCAATGATAGGTCGCACGCCTTAATACGATTCTTAGATCGGAAGTTACAGCCTTCTGAAGTTGGCCATGGAAAACTGCCGCGGGCGTGGGCTACAGTACCCGCGGGCGCAGGGTTGCTGCAGCTCCAAAACTACCGTATTTGGGCAGTAAGCACCCGCGGTTCTCCCGAGGGCTCCCCGAGGGCGCGGGCCTTAGCCCCGTGGGCGCGGGCTTGGGCCGCAGGCGCGACTATCGGGGTGTCTGTTCCCCTCCGCTGGCGCGGCCGATTTCTTCGCGGGCGCGGGTTTCTAGGTCTTTTACGATTTTAAACTTCTTTTCTCCTTTTGTTTATATAGTTTTTGGTTTCCTTTATTCTTCATTCATTTAATTCTTTAGTTTTAGAATAGTATTCTCTCTCTTAGGTTGAGAGCTTCTCTCTCTAGATTAGGCTAGATTAGGAGTAGTTTTAGAGAGAGAAAGTGAGGAATTTCAATGGTGATTGAGAGATTGAAGATGCAAGTGTGACAATTGTGTTGGAGATCTTCTTAATTGTCAATGAGCATTTCTAAACTCTATCTCATTCATTTGCTTTGTTTAATTTGATGTTTGTTTTGTTTAATTTTGATGTTTGATGCTTGATTAGTGTAATTGTTCTTGGTATTTTGTGGATTCTTGATTTCCATAGTGGTTAGTTGATAGATGATGATTCTTGAATAGTTGTTTGGCTAGGAATTGGGTGAAACTTGTATGATTGATTAATTGTGATTAATTTGGGAATTGTGTTGATTGATTGTTGAGATTAAAGTGATTAGTGAAGGTTTGCATGTGTGTAATTCAATTTGGCCTTGAGAATTATGCTAGATTGCATTGTAATTTCTAATGACATGAACAATTAATTTAGGAATTGCAATTATCAATTGGTTTTGATTGTGATTCTCTTACTTTGTTATTCATAGTGAACCCTAGCTTAACAATTAGGAGATAGCTCTTTGATTCCTATTGATTGCTCTTTTCATTTAGTCCTCACAACCTTTGATTGGCATGCTCTTCCCAAGTTGTTTCAATTGACATGATTACTTGTTAATCCCCGTTCCTAGTGTTTTATTTCCTTGGTTACTTGTTTTGTTAGTTGCTAGTATTCTCTCTTACCTTTGTTTTCGACCTAGCTTAGGTGCATAATTGAAAGTGCTTGAACATTACCGTTCCTTTAGGTTCGACCCTTGACTTGCCTCTATACTCATATTTAGGTTTGTTAAGTGTTTATAAATTTAGTTTGAGCGAGGGAAGATTAGATATCGACCTAGTTTTCCCCTCATCAAAAGGACCTTAAATGAAAGTAAAGATTATCAGTTGGCTTAAACTTGGGGATGTCATTGACATTGAACTTCTGCGGATGAAGATCCTTGTCCACTGAGACCCCTTGTGAGCGCAGCTAATGCCCTAAAACCTGTAATCATTGGATATCTTACTCAAGATCTCTTGCATGAGCTACATCTGTTGTTGCTTCACATGGTCATTAATTTTAAGGGTCAAAGTCTTTAGCAGCTCAGTAACACCAGCCATTTGCTTCTTGAGTTCATTGACTTCTTCTTGACTTGCCATTGTCTTCTTAGGTTTCCTTTTCGGCCTCACTTGTTTATCAAAAAGTTGAAATTGAACAAAGGTGTTGTCCTTGATTGTGAAAGTAATGGTGTCCTTCGAATAAGTGTATTATTCCGATAGTGGGTTATGAGTTATTATAAAGCTAATATATTCATTAAGGCAAAGTGATCGGAATGCCTGAGTGGAGGCCGCTTCCGATCAGTAATATTAATGTACAATTAATAATAAAGCTTAATCTTTACTGAACTCTTCAAGTCACATCCAAGTAATTAACAAACCAACTCGACGAATTAATTCGGAAGAAATTAATGACTCGCCTGAGTATTAAATATTTATACGTCGGAAATTCGAGCATAGAACGTCGAAATCGAGCGTTGGAAGTCGAGTCAAAAATAGTAAATGACGAGACACGCAAAATAATAATAAATCGATAATATTCCCGTAATACCCCTAGCATCAGAATGCCCCAAGCATCCGAATTCTAGGGGCATAACATGCTAGCACAGGTGGCTAGCATGCGGACCATGCCAAGCCAAGGGTGGCTGGCTAGTGCGTGCTAGCAGCAGCTAGCAGCCGCAAGCACACCAAGGCAGCAGCTGCTAGCAGTAGCCCGCACTTGGAGTGCGTGGCATGCTAGCCACAACAGCAGCCCGCAACTTCAAGTGTGGGGCTGGGCTTCGGTTGGCCTACGACTGGGCCTATGGCACGGGTCGTAGGGCCGACACTCATGGGAAGCAAATGGGAAGCAAGTGGGTGAGGGACATGTGGCACAAGGAGAGTATGGACTGGGGAGCAAGTATTGTCCCCTACTTTCCAAGTGGTCATGACTTCCCTTTTCATGTAATAATGACACTTATAGATTATTATTAGTTTTCTTAATTATTTTAATTTAGCTTTAAAATAAATTGTGGAATTTCATGCTCCCACATTGATGGGATAGAAATTCCCGTTCTCCCTCTTGCGTATAAATACCACTAGTGGAAAAAGTTTCATTTGTAACGGTTATTTATAACGGGCAAAGCTATGCCCCTCAAATTAAATACATTCGTAACGGGCAAAATGTTGTCCGTTACGAATAAATATTTATTCGTAACAGACACATGATGTCCGTTACGAATACTATATTATTTATGTTACGAATACTATATTATTTATATTACGAATACTATATTATTTGTAACGGACACCATGTGTCCGATACTAATATTTGGCCCAGCTTAAGAGAGGAGCCCATGAAAAGAGGAGCCCATTACTAATTATTAGGGTTTCACACTCCTAGCCGTTAAACACTCAAATCCCACATTCTTTTCTCTCTCCTCTCTCATTTTGCTAACTCAATCTCTCTCTTCTATGACTGATTCACCTCACTGAATACACTCAATCTCCTCCATTTCACCGCCCTAATTCCGAAAATTTCCCCTCTTTCTCTCTCCTCTAAATCGCATCAAAAGTAGAGGACCCAATTTAGGATGTCTTTTGCACGAATCTCGTTACTCGGAAGTGGATATTGTGGTGATGATTCTTGTAAAAAACATCACAGTATGTTATGGGTATGGTTCTATCTCTTCGATTTTTTTTCAAGCCAATTAGACTTGAGAAGATCTAGGTTTTGTTGATTTGTTTCAGTTTTTTGTTAGATTATTGTTGATTTGATTAATGTGTTAATCTGCGTGTGAGATCTAACTATTTGTTTGGTTTTGATTTCATTATTCTATTTTTTATGCTAATTTTTGTAATTAGATTCGTGATTTTAAGGTTTTGTTTTTCATTTTGTGACTTTTAGCGGTTAAAATGTTGGTTTATAGCTTACTGCTGAATCTATTATGACCCAAAAATGAATTGAATAGGAGATCGTAGTGGCAAGATTTGAATTGATTGGATATTAACATTTCTCGATGCTAATTAGTTGTTTGAGACTAATTGCGAGTATGCATTCTTGATGACCGCATTTGTGCAATTCTGAGCCTAAACATTCATATCTTAAACCTTATTTTAATCGTAAATCAATTTTTTATTTGTTTTATGTCGTTTGTGTTTGTGTTTATGGTGTTTGGATTTCAATTTTGTATCGTGCCCTTACACTTACACCAGTTGGACTTTGAAGGAGTTCAATATTTCTGTCTGTGTGGCTTGAGTTTCAAAGCGACCAAGCGTTTATGTATTCATATTGCAATTTGTGTTAAATTAGAGTGTATTATGTCTGATTTGATCGACTTTGGATTGTAGTACTTGACTGCAACTATGTTGTTATACACTACTTATACTATTTATGATTCTAACTGGGTGAATCAATGTTCTTATTCGTATATTGTTGTATCGTCGTGTAAGTTGTGTGACTTGTTTGTTGTTTTTGGACATATAGGGCAAATTGGATACGCTCTTGTTCCCATGATTGCTAGGGGATTTATGCTAGGTACCGACTAGCCTGTGATTCTACACATGCTTGATATTCATCCTGCTGCTGAGGCTTTAAATGGAGTTAAAATGGAGCTGGTGGATGCTGCTTTCCGACTTCTTAAAGGTTGGGGATTATGGATTTTCTGATGCGGAGTTTGAAGTGTGTTAATAGGTTGAGGTTCTCTGTTTATTTTTTTGACTTATGAACTCATGAATTCCTATGATCCATTATTTTCAGGTATCGTTGCTTCAACCGATGCTGCTGAAGCCCGCAAAGGTGTAAATGTATCTATCATGGTTGGTGGCTTCCCAAGGAAATAAGGCATGGAGAGGAAGGATGTGATGGCAAATAATGTGTCAATGTACAAGTCTCAAGCATCTGCTCTTGAGCAACATGCTGCCCCCAACTGCAAGGTTTGTTATTTAGCCCAATTTTTTTGTAAATTTTGATAAAAGTTGTAATTAGTGGTGTACACTAGTGTTTATCAATATCAGATTGGCTATGATAATCATGTACATGATTCAATGTTGGCATATTTTTATACTATTTTTTCTATGTCCTTGAAATGATAGTTAGGAGTCAATGACATGGTGTTTATTCTGTGTGCTAGTCTCTAGTGAATACAAATGAAAACACGACCGTCAGATCTGCTGGTTAAATTTGTTACCTTCAGTTTGACTGGTGTTTAGAACTGCTCGTGTCATACTGTAATGTCCTGTTTTATTTAAGCCTGTTGAAACCTGTTCAATATTAGAATAACTGAGGAAATAAGTGACATGGTTGTGAAATATGTTTCGTACCACTTATGGACAAGTTTCAAATTGGTTATTTGGTTTCTAATTACGTACACCTGGGCTGGATAATCGATTGTGTTTAGGTCGATTAGAGGTCGTGCTTAGATTGCGCTACAGTTGGGCCTAAGGCACGGGTAGTAGGGCCGAAACTCATGGGAAGCAAATGGGAGGCAAGTGTGTGAGGGACATGTGGCATAAGGAGAGTATGGAGTGGGGAGTAAGTACGGTCCCCTACTCTCCAAGTGGTCCTCACATACCTTTTCATGTAATAGTGACACTTGTAGATTTATTATTAGTTTGCCTATTTATTTTAATTTAGCTTTAAAATAAATTGTTGAATTTCATGCTCCCACATTGATGGGATAAAAATTCCCACTCTCCCTCTTGCCTATAAATACCCATCTTGGGTTTTTCGGAAGAGTGCTTGAGTAGGAGTTCAATAGAGCATTGCATTAGCAAAAACTCTTAACCTCACATAATACTCGGGTTTTAGTCGCACCTCGCTAATTTCGAGGTAATAGACCTTAAAGTTGGTAGTTGTTTTTATGGGTGGATCTCCGTCGGAGGCTCTCGTATTTTCGGGGCTAAGCTTCTCAAGTAAGAGCTTAATTTGTTGGGTGAAGCACGCGCAAAAGGTAAATTTCCAATTTTGCCCTTTTATGTTTATTTATGCATTAGTGATATTATTTATTGCGAGTCTGATCCTTGGCTCGGGTTTTTTCCGCGGTGAGTGGGACTCACCAAACCGTTAAAGATTAATCACCCTTCTCTCCTTGACCACGAACTCTAGAAAGGGAAATTAGTGATATTCATTGTTAATTATTTGACTTAAACTATATTCAAAATGTATGGATGGAAGAAGGTAGAAAGAATGAAGGTTGTGATATGGAGAAAGCATGTAGAAAATGGAAAGATGATGTTGATGGGGATATATAGAAGAATTTAGGAATAAGTTGGACCCCCAGCTTAAATGACAGAAAAAACTGACTCATGCATGAACTTAAGACATGGTTAAGGTATACATACAAATTAGAGTGTGCTTTTTTTGTGGGTGTAAGTCACATTCTTTGACTGTTGTGTAAGACTATTGGCCTAAGTGTTTAGACTCAATTAAGGACTAAATTGGTTACTTCCATTAACAAAATAACCAAAGTGTTCAATTAGACTCATCGTGATGACCTGAGAAAAAATATGAACTGTCGCCAAAGCAACAGAACTGTAGCCATAAACTGTAGTGCAGCGCCAAACGACAGTTTTGTAGCACGGCGTTGCACAACAGCGTTTGGCGTTGCAGCCCAAATTTTTGCGCCTTTACTGGAGCATTAATCTAGGACTTCTTTCAATATTTTTACTTTACGGGACAGGCCTAAAGTCCTATTAAGTCAGTTCTGATTACTTTATTAAACTCTAATTACTCTAATTAATTAATTAGGCAAAGTCCTTTTAGTCATTAACTAGTTTATTTAGGCTTAAACACAAGTCTAAAAAATGGTTAGGAAAAACACATAGAGTATGCACAACAAATAATGCACAAATAGTTAAGTAGGCACAATATGATGTAATGAGTTTGCAACCTAACCATGGCTCTAGTTCTCTAAAGTTCGGGATATGGGTTAGTCAAAAAAGGGTCCATGGTTATGAGTCCAGATGCATCGTGCGGAAGCCTTATCTTTGGAAGGGTTGGCGCGAGTGGATGGGACCCCACGAGTTAAACTCGCTTCCATGGTTTGGTCAATTCAACATTCTCGGATGTACCCTTTGTTGCTTAGAGCGTTAAATTAGGTAGATGGAGCATGAATTCCAAGAGGGTTATGTCCATATGTAGAACACATATAGGTTTCAGAAAAGTGAGAAAAACTAAATCAGGAAGTATAATCGAGCCAACTGTGCTAGAATAGGTCGAAAAAAGAACTCATATTTCTGGCTCAGTATTAGAAGAATGCAGCGCCAACCAACAGGGTCCATAGCCGTGATAAGAGCCCTGTCGCCTGGCGACAAAATTGTCGCTCGGCGATAGAGCCTTATATTCGGCGAAAGGCTCTGTTTTCTAGACGCCAGTTCCTATATGCCTCAGCGGCTTTCTATATTCTTAAATTTTCCAGTTTTTTTGCAGCATTATTTCGATTCTAGTTGTGAAAGATATTCCTAAAATTTACTACGTGTAAAAATCCTATGTTTTTTACTCATTACGGAAGGTCTTTCCAATGAGATCCTTTTTTATGCATATGACAATAAAGTGAATCAAAATTACGCACATGAAATACTTAGAACATTTTGAGTCTCATCCACTCATTCTAAATCATTTCTGAAATAAATTTCAGGGATTAAAATAGGATTCCTCCATAGCGAAGTCCCCATAAACTATACAGAATATTTCAAGCATTAACCCAAATTTGAACCCCGCTATGATCATACACTAAAGCATGGTGGCATCCAAAGGGAAGGAAGCTACCACAAAAGAGTCGCCAATAAGTTTTAGGAACTAGTAAACCATTCACAGGGTGAAGGTTACACCCCTTAATGATCTAGGAGATCGTTAACTCCAATAGGTCTGGAACCAAGACTTGAAGTTCGGGGATGAAGGTACAAATTCAATCTAAAAGAGAAAGAACCTGCCCTAATAATAGGCCTCTAATTTATTCTTCTCATATTCATGTGTGCTTTCTGACTAACATGCAATCAATAGGTTAACCCTAAACCTGTTTAACTATGTGGGTTGAATATTAATGCACAAACAAATCTATTATTGGCGATCAATTTAATTATAATATAATTAACATGAAACAAGATTATTAATCATTTTATTAAGCGTGATTACAAGTGCGAATTCCCATTAAACATCCATAAAAGGCGTGATCAAGCAATAAATAAATATCAAGCAGCATAATAATCATTATAAATTATGACAATCATAATAACCATAATCATAATTATGTTAAAGCATAATAATAGCAAGATTCTAGGCATGAAAACAAGATTAATAACAAATCCTAGCATGTCACTAAACAATCAAAGCTTAATGCTAACATGATTCTAGCATGCTATTAAGAAAGAAAATAAGAAGCATCATAGAAATCATCATTGACATTATATTCGTTACCCTAGACTTCATACTAAGGAAAGCATCCTAACATGATACTAGGAATTAAAATCACAATATCAATAAAACAATTAAAGCACTTACTTGGATGCCTCGTATCTCTTTCTAGTAACAAAATACACATGTTAGTAACTTCAAGGAAAATATAAAACAAACAATTAAATTAAATATATAAAATAGAGATAGAAAGTTTAGACTCGATTTGGGACCAAACCCTCATAAATCAAACCTTCCACGTATAGGGTGAAGACAACTTCGAACTATGCTAGGTGTGTGTAGATCTTGTCGTTTTTCAAATGTTTGTTTATAAAAAGAGAGAGAGCATCAAGAAATTCTTTATAAAAGTTGGTGAGAATTAGATGGAAAATTGATGATTAAAAAACGGATGCCTAAGGATGCAATTTATAACGAAAATAAGCCGGAATATGATAAAAAAGAATCAGAGTTTTAAGAAGAATAAAACAATGATAGCTTTGACATCCATATCATTGCCATCCATATCAATTAGTTTTGCAGCGCCTCCTGATAGGATAGTTTTGACATTTTATGGTCCAGACCAATTAGGTCTAAATTTGCCTCTAGGATCCAAAACATTTTTCTTAATGCCTTTAACACTAAGTCTTCTACTTTGATGTTTCTTGTCTTGACTTTCTTGTTGAAGTGTCTAGCCATACGGGTTTGATAGCATTGATTATGATGTAGAGCTTCTAGTCGCTTTTCATCGAGTACAATTAGCTCTTCATATCTTGCCCTAGTCTATTCAAATACATCCAGTCTACATTCCAACGCGATGCGTAGGGAAGCTATTTCTAGATCTACAGGCTGTGCAGAATCCATCCCGTAGACTAAATAAAATGGCGTATTTCCTGTTGACGAGAGAATTGACGTGCAATAACCCCACAGAGCAAAGTGGAGTTTGTTAGGTCAATCCTTGTAATTTTATGTCATCTTCTCATGATAGTCTTTAAATTTTTATTAGCTGCCTCAACTGCACTGTTTGCCTGAGGTCTGTATACAGAAGAGTGATGATGTTGAATTCCATACTTGTATAACAATTCTTCACATTCTAATTGAAAGTGAGTTCCATTGTCAATTATCATTTCATGTGAGACTCCATATCGACAGATGATGTTTTTTCCGATAAAGAGTGTTAAATGCTTTGCTGTGAGTTTTGCACATGATTTTTCTTCAACCCATTTAGTGAAGTAGTCAATTGCTACTAATATGCATTCATAACCTCTTGTTCCTGGAGGAGTAATTTTTCCAATAATATGTATTCCCCATGTTGAGAATGGCCATGGTGATTTATAGGTGTAGAGGAGATATGGAGGAACATATAGTAAGTTAGCGTATATTTGGCGTTTAGGTCATCTTTTGACATATTGATGACAGTCTCTATTCATGGTAGTCTAATAATACCCTTCGCGCATTATCTGATCTTTTGGACTAGCATTTTTCCATTTACATGTGCTCCACATACTCCTTCATGGACTATTCTCATAGCCCTATGGGCTTCCTTTTTGCCTACACATAGAAGAGCTCAACCTTTAGGTACCCTTTTGTGTAACTCATCGTTTATAAGCACATATTGGGAAGCTAAAAGTCTTAAGCCTCATTTTGCTCTTTTGTCAGCATGAAGTGGATATTCTCTTTTTGTGATATAGTTTAGGATGTTTTTGCACCAAGGTTCTTCTTCTTGGACCAATTCATCATCCTCTAAGCCAGTTATACCTTTTTTCTATCGTTAAAGGCATTTTCTCAATTTCCATAGGAATTCTAACCATTAAGGCTAGTTTAGCCAAGGCATCAGCAAATTGATTTTCTTCTCTAGGTAGATAGGTGTACTCTACCTTTTCTAGTTGGTTTGTGAGATTTTCAAATTATGTTTGGTAAAGGGCCAAACTTTCACTCCTTACTTTCCATGTTTTGGAAATTTTTTTGATGGTCAACGAAGAATCTCCGACTATTCGAAGTTCGAGGCCTAGCTACCACGCATGCTTCATATTCTGCAGCATTGTTTGTACCGTCAAATTCAAGCTTTATGGAGATGGGAATATTCTCTTCTTTAGGTGATACCAATAATACTCCTACGCCACATCCCTTTTGTTTGAGGCTCCATCGAAGTATATAGTCCAAGTATCATCTTCTGTGACCATCCACTCTTCGTCTGGAAAGTCATTCTAATGTATTGGTGTCAAATCTTCTATTGGGAAGTCCG